CATTTAACAGAGATCTTTCTGTAAGGCTAACTTTATAGAACAGATTTTAAACTTTGTGTATATTAGCCTCACTTTCAGAACTTTATAAAAAATACCGATACCCATCTCTCCTTTCTCCATCCCACTCCTAATTCAGTAGATCTAAGATTATACCTCTTTATTTTTGGAAGCATATCATGTTGGAAAACACCATCACAGAAGTCATTTCCATGCTCACCTTCACTGTACACTGCTGCCACCAAGCAGAGGCCTGTCCCTTTGGCAAGTTATGTAACCTGTCTTGCTTCGGTTCTCTCATCTGTATAACTGGAACAATAACTTCCAACTGTTGTTGTAAGCATTAAATGAATCTTTATATGTAAAATGTTCAGAATGATGCTTTGTACATTTTAAGTGCTATGTAAGTGTTAACTTTACCACTATTACCATTTTTATTGTCACTGCTAGGGCAGCTTAGTAAAACTGAGCCAGTTCTTCCCCACTTTCTAGGTAGGGAGACCCCTTTAACAGAAACAGATCACAGACCCATAAACTCTGTATATGTTGGTTAAGTACATACATGACAAAAATGTTACAGTGAATTCAAGTAACAAAGAGTTTTATTTATTTGAGCAGCAACATCTATATATAGCTAATATTTAATGTAGAGATCATACATGGCTTCCCTAAGGATTTTCAGACTCTCTGCAATCAACCTGAGCCTTGTTCCCCACCCTCTCAAAGTCTCAGTTTCACTGGCTGTGACCCATTCCTCCAGCCACGTCAAACTGTCTTGTTCTGCCTCAACATGCCACCAGTCTTCCTAACTTCCTGCTGTATACAAGGTTCCACCTCTCAAGCCCCCTTCTGCTTCTCTGTCTAGAATATGGAATCATGAATGCTAAGAAATTCATCTTAACCCACTGGACTGAACTTCCCTACAGTTGGTTGGTAAGGAATCTGAAGGTTAGCATGCCATCCAATTAAGTACACTGCTCAAAAACAGTAACAATGAATAGGGCTTTTCTTTAAAAAAAAAAAATACTAGAATCAGGAAAAGTCAAGTTGGGATGCAATGAGAGGGAGCTGTTTAGCAGAAGTCAAGTGACTGAATGGGATGTCTGTGGAAGCTGCAGACAGACTTCAGGAGCACCAATAATGCGAGCAGACCTCCAGGAGGGCACGTCAGCCAGGAAGGACCAACAGGCACTAATCAAGCTGAGAGACAGACCCCACTTACCCCAGCCCCAGGCTCCACAGCAAATGCCAGAAGAACACCCCAGTTCTACCTCAGGGGTCACTAGGGAACTGGCTGCCCATCCATGGGGCAAGATTGGTGGGGGTGGGAAAGGGCTCGTCCTGACAGGAGCCAAGAGGCCACACTCCCCACCACATACCCAGAGGCTATACTGCTGAGGAGCAGAGAGGGTGCAGACAGACTGAACCTTTTTACCAAAACATGCTGAACAGCTAACAAAAGGAACTTTTAAAATTACATTTTTAGAATACGCTTATTGGATTAGACTGCAATTATAAAGCTTCTTTCTCTTCCTTCTCTCTGGCTATCCAGTGGGAGAGGCTCATATAGATAATAACAGATTGCTTAGAGAAAAACAAAGTTACTTTCTCCCTTATCTGTCTCAGTGTAGCATGAGTTAAATTTTAGCAATCCTCTACAGCTCCTTTAATAGCAGCACAAACGTTAACTGCCCTGTAATGGGTAGAATATGGTTTTATGTAGTCAAGTTTCATGGACTCGGTGTATTCAGAACACTACCACTCCCACCCCTGGCAAGCTGGGAGCTGCTATAATTGTGGTTGAATTAAAATAGCCAAGCTTCCTCACAGCCTAAATTCTCAAGTGAGTTAGTGTTACAGAGAAATGTTTTATTAGTCCTGAAGGAATTATTAGATTACCTTTCCCTACACTGTTACTTCAGCATTCCTAACCACCCCAAACCCAATAAAAAAAAGTTAGAAAAAAAGTACATTCTAGATAACATGACTTGGCTTTCAGTTTGAACAAGATACTGTGACTATTAGTTTTCCCCCCAGAGATTGTACTCTTAACAACCAAATCACTCACTTCTTTCAAATTATATACTCAGTTTGGATATAAAGGTTATTTTATATAGAATAGGAATTCTGCTTCCTCAAATTAGCCTAGAAACCTGTAATAGTTTCATGTTCCTTCCTGGTTTCAACAATATTTTTTTAATGGAAAAAAAGAATCCACTTTTTTCTTTTAAAAATGTATTTGTACAGAACAGAACTGTGTTTACATACAGACATTAAGTGGCTTCTTCAAATAATTTTAAAGAGACTTAGAAAAAAGACTGCAAATTAGAGGACCTTAATATGATCCACATTTGAAGACCTTAGCCTTCATATCTCAAAAGGGTTTTATTAAAAGGACCACAGGACTGGGCTTTCAGCTCATGAGCAGACAATATCAGTTAATGGATTAAAAGGATATCAGAGGGCATTTCAGTAGGAAAAAAATGATTGGATAAAATGAATGGACAGGAAGGTAGAAAGAATAACATAGGGCTAACAATGGCATAGAAGAATGGAAAAATTTTTTATGCAAACAGCAAGGGTAGTAAGTTACTGAAAGAAGACCAATGACTGGAGACATCATGGAAGCTTTGTGGTCAAGGTAGGACTTGGGCTCCCCCTTGAGGGGTGGGTAGAATTTGACAAGGAAAGAGGCAAAGGAAAGAACAGGGCACCACAGGGGCATGAGAGAATAAATGGGTGTGGCATGAGTGTTAGAAAGAGTGGAGATTTGAGCAGAATTTGATAGGGTCTTATGCACTGAACCATAGGAAGGGCTGTAATAACACAAATGAAAGAGGGCAATGTCCCTGAGCATCTTTTCTCTGACCATAGTTTATTCCAAGTCTGGATAACCTAAACCTTCACTTTCCAAAATTTGGCTAAAAACATTTCAACATAGCTTACAGGTTTGCTTATATCTCTAATATATATATATATATATATATATA